GAGGGTCTGGTATAACTCCATTTATCTGCAGATCTCAGGGGACGCCCCGAGCCCCCAGATAATGGGGGACTTAGTTAATCAGGGCAGCCAGCTGTCCAGCTTTCCACCGGGGTAGGGTTCAAGCTCACAGCCCATCCTGCGCATACAGGCCTGCTGCAGCCGTGGATTTGTGTGTTCCCTGCAGCGCTCCAGCCCCAGGCTGCTCTAGGAAAGCCAGGCAGGCACTTGGGGCTCCCTCCCAGCTCTGCTCTGAGCTGAGGGATTGCTGATCAAACCAGTACTTTGTGTGGCACTTGATCTAAATTCTGCTTGGTGTTGGGGGCACCTTGGTGACAGAGCTTGCAGGAGAGCTGTGACACAAAGGTCAGGTTAAAGAGGTTCAGAGTGAGGTTCTAATGTTTGTAACTCAGTGATATTTTGTGGTTGGCTCTTGGGCTGAAGGCACAACATGTTTCTATAGGGCAGCCCTGACAGAAGTATTGCTCCAGAGATTTTCAGGATAGACTCATTCCTACAGGGCAATAAATAGGGAACCTTGCAAAGCTTTTTTACAGAATGGACATGGTTTTTTTACAGCTTGTTCATGATACCTCCACATTCAAATTCCTAAACTTCACTAAAATTTCAGTTGACTTTTTTTTTTTTATGAATCCCAAATGTGCGTGTATACTGAGGCAGAGATAGCAGGGAGTTTAATGTCACTTTGCTGCAGTCACTTAAGTCCCTTCTGATTAAGCTGTGAGCACAAACAAGCAGGGGCATCCCGCTCGCTGCCCGTATGGCAGGAGCTGCTGTGCTCTGCTGCTGCAGGGAGCCCAGGAGGGCACAGGAGTGCCAAGGTGGGTGGGTGGAAATGGGGTGCCAGGAGAGGCCTCGCTGCACTGGGGGTATCTGCACCCACTCTTCTGCCTTTTCAGCCGGCAGCAGAGGTGCTGGGCTGGGCGCTTCCTTGCGTGCCTCCAAAGCACTGGTAGATCTGCGGGGCTCTCCCCATCTTGGAGTGTCCTTCCTCAGCTGCCTCTCCCGTAGCTGCTCAGCTGTTTGTCCAGGCGGTTTTTCCCAGTCTTTTGTGTGGCGAGCAGCATCCTCCAGCTCATCAATAGGATTTTACCAGGTGCAGAGCAAACCTGGGCGGCGTTTCCGTGCAGCGTTTATCTGAAGCAGGCAGCAATGTGAGCTGTGCCGAGCCGTTCGGGACCCAGCAGGGCATTATCAGGCAGAGCCTTTTCCTGGTTGGGAGCATCCCCGGCTGGGGCCGAGCGATGAATCGAGCGCTGCCGGCCGGCCGCAGGCTCAGGTGGCCGCTGTCCCCCGGTGTCGCCGAGCCCTTTCAGCGATTTGTCACGGCCGGCTCCGCTCCCGTTGCGGCAGCACGTGCCAGCTCCGTGTCACAGGGGCCGCTGCCAGACGGGCCCGACACCCCCGGACAGCGCCCGCCCGCCCGCAGCCGCGGCTCCGCACGGCCCTGGCAACAGCCCAGCGCCGAGGAATCAGCATCTCCATAATGAGGAGTGAATGGCATCCATCAGTCCCTTTAGAATTGGGCCCAGGCGTGTGCCTCCTCTCCGAGGAAGTTTGGCAGCCTATTCATTAACAAGAGTCATCAGGAGTTCAGCCCATAAAGGGGAGGCAGCCCCGCACGCTGCGGGCTGGCGCTGTCAGGAATGCCTTCTCTCCCCGGCTTCGGGCAAGGCAGGAAAACTGAGCAAATAACGCTGTCAGCAGGTGCAAACGCTGAAATGCTGGCTATTGATTTTCTTTCTTTAGGCTTCCACGGGAAGTTTATAAGAAGATTTATCACATATCAATCGTCCTGTGCGAGCGTTAAATGCAAAATTCTTCCTTTCTTTCTCTTCCCTTTGTTGCCACCACGCCTGCAGGAACTCGCCGTGCAATGAGAAAGTGCTTTGCTTATTCCCTTCGAGGTCGACACTAGACCACTGTCTCCTGGTTTAAAGCACTGCTTTTCTCTGATTTTTTTTTTAATAGTGTTTCAGAGTGGTTTTGTTAATGTACTGCAAGTCACAAATGGCACTTCAATATTAATTAGTAATGCTTTTCAATTCTAAATACCCTCACCTGCATTCTGTTGTCACTGGTGTTATTCTCCTGCTCCTAATTTCTAAATTCAGCTTGGCCTTTGCTCCCACCGAACAGCCTTGCGGAGCTCGAGTGCATTTCCCCATAACAGAAACACAATGAGGCGCTGAAAACTTTTGTTTTCACTGAGGAAACGGAGAATGAGATGTCATCCTGGCTCCTGCGAGCCCTAATTCATAAAGTCATACATGAGGCTCTCCAGCCCATTGTAGGTTTGTCCCAGGCGTTATCCTGTTATTGGAAGTGTATGATTCACCTTCTGAGCAGACAGAAGCTGCACACAAAAGGGGAAGATTTGCTTTCTCCGCTGTGAAAGGCTACCGCAAGCAGGGGTCCTATTAAGACAGCTGGAAAGTTGCTTCAGCTTGTTACGCTTGTAAGTTTTATTGGTGACTGGTTTTTGATTACACATTTGAATGCTGTGTGTTCCAGGTTGCCGAGTTTTAATTAAAAGGCAATAGTCTCGATGTTAGCTCGCTTTGTTGTCTGCATTATTCAGGCCATAATGCATGCAAGTTGTGGGCTGGGTTTGTCCACTGTGCATCATTTATTTGGGATACATAAGGTTGCACCTTCTAGCACCTGCCCTAAATACAACCATCATGCTTTTGGAATTGGTTTATTGTGCTTAATTTCTTCCAAGAAGTCCAGTGACCAAATGAATGTGGGGGGAGGGGGGGTGTTATCCCTCTTGTCCTGTAGCATTTTTTTCTCCAATCTAGTTACTTTTCTGGTCATTGCAACAGGAATATTGAGTGCCAGGAGCTTCCCATAGTGCCACAGCCTGTCTGTGATGGAGGGTTTTGATCTGGGGCTTTGCTCCTGTACTCGGCAGCTCCCAGTCAGGAAGCTCAAGCGGTGTTATCCTGAATTTCCAGCCCTGAACATATCCCCTGCTTGTTGCTCCCATTCAAAACCACTGGGCAGTTCTGGTCTGGCTCCCTGCCCATTCCAGCCTGGTCAGTGTGGATGTGGGGCTGGGGGCTGGTGCTCAGGGATGCAGTGGGACAGCCTTGAGCTCTGCACACACTTTTCCTTAACGGGGCATCGCAGCTACGAGGAGAGAGCTCTGTACCTCGAGGCCATCATCCAGAACCATAAAGAAGTGATGACGTTTGAGGATTTCGCCGCTCAGGTCTTCTCTCCCTCTCCCAGCTACTCCCTCGGTGGAACTGGTGAGTTCTGTGCATTATTCTTCTTCTCTGTAGCCCAAAGAAGCACTTGAGCAGCAGATGTACACCTGTTTTTTGTAGATAAATGCTTGCAAATTTAAGACGACTATTCTTCCCCTGAATCAACTAATGAATATCAAAAGGAATGATGATATTCATTTTAATTTGTTTTGCATCAGAGCTATTCACACTGCTCCTTTCTTCAGCTATCCTGTTAACCTCCAACTCCAGCAAGGTTAATGAACTTTCTTGCAGTGATGGGCTCGGGCTCATTCAGGACTCCGGGTTCTTGCTGAGCTGGGAATATGTTGTTCAAAAGTGAGGCCTGAATCGGGGCTCACTTATCAGAAATAGTTCCTCGCAGGGGAAGCTGCTGTTAATGCTAAATGGGGATTATGCTGCTGAGCTACCAGGGTCAGGGATTAATGCACAAGAAGCGCAGGATCGGTGCTGTTGGGAAATCGCGGCGGCGTGCGGGATGCAGGCATGGGGTGCGCTGCGGGCTGCCCTGCAGCACCTGGCCTGGAGCCTCTGCAGCAGGGCTTGTGATGGGGTGTGGGTGTGAGGGGGTGTGCATGCACATCGGTGCTCATCACTCATCTGCCTGCTGAGAGGTGACAGCAGCGTGCCCAACTCGGGGAATTTACTCCTCGTGTGCCTTGTGGAGGGTTAGGTTAGTGTGCAGTCGCTGTCCGGCTGGTTTGATTAAGTTTAAGTGAACCTCTCCTGAAAGGGAGCTTTGGCTCTGAAGTGTACATTTCTAGTGCCTTCAAAATGCGTTTTTTTCCAGCACCCAGCATGTATCTGGTCACCATGTGCTGGACTCTCTAACAAAGATTCCTTAATCTGTCGTTGACACTCCTAGGGTGACACTGGCACTTTCTCCTCATTCCCTGCTTCTCTTTTGGATTGCTGAATAGATTATTTCCAACCTGTATAAACGTTGCAGGACATCTGCTCTATTTCTCTTTAGCCTGACTTGTTAGCAGATATCTTCCATCTAAACTGAAACACTGAAGGAAGAAATTAAATTTGCTCACATAAATCACTTAGGAATAAAACCAGCCGTGCAGCATTGTCTGGCGTTGCTGGCTCCAATCCTGGCGTGCTTGGAGCTTTGTGAGGAGATAAGAGGCCTATGCTGGCCGGGCAGTGGTGGCCAGGAGCAGCAGGCAGAAGGCTTTGGAGATAAGCACTGGCAGGAGGGGGGAGGAAGCCGGGGCCATTTACATAATCGCACCTCCTCGTCCTGGAGAGGCGTCAGGGAACATGGGATGGATCTATTGATCTCTGCTGAACTGGAATACTAAACAACGCTAGGAAAGCTTATAACTTAAAGCTTTGATTAATGTTTCCTACATTAAAAAGTAGAACAGCTGTGCATTAAATTCTTTTATACATCCTGCCAAAAGTCTGAGACAAAAAAATCGCCCATTTCAATAGGAGCGCAGCGCGTGCCCAGGGCTGGTTGTTAGCACTTGAATCGTTTATCTGTCGACGTATCAGCAAATAGAAATGTAGATATAGTGATTTGTTTTTGCTCTGTGCATAGCTGTGATTCATTTTCATGTTGTTCTTAGCACATGGTATTGTGTCACATGTGGTTTGACAGGGCAGACCCCTCCCCAGCCCCACTTTCTGAAGGATAAGCTGTGTGTGCCAAACACATTTAAACTGTTTCCCAGTAGCTCAGGATTTCAGAACACTGTTAAATCAGGAGTACCCGGGTATGATTTAATTATTTTAATTGCTTTAAAGTGCAAAGCCTACCCCAGTCAGGTCCCAGTTTTCAGACTTGTGAACCTCAGAATTAATTTCCCGCTCATGAACTGGAGGCTGGCCATGACTTCTGGTGTCAGAATCTCCGCTTCAGAGAGTCTCCTCACATTACCTGCTGATTCTCCTGCATATGTAGCCAGTGATGAGCAGGGGCAGTGTCAGCTGTGGCCATGGGGATGTGTTTTCCATCAGATGCCCCTCAGCGGTCAGCAGGGAGGCTGGATGCAGTCCCAGCAGCTCCACTGTTCCCCAGCCAGGCCTGCTCCAGGCAAAGATCCACCTGTCTGCCACTTAGGAATGCAAGGGGCATTTTTCTATTCTGAAACAGAAAAAAGGAGTCAGGGAGCAGTTAATAAAAAGAAGCACCTTTCCCTGAAGGAGTGGTCAGGCACTGGCACAGGCTGCCCAGGGAGGCACTGGGTTCCTCGTATCTGGAAGTGTCAGGAGATGATCTTGGGATGATGATGGTGGTGCTGGATTGGCCACTGGACTTGTTGATCTCTTCCAGCCTTGATGATTCTGTGGGATGCATGGAGCTGGCACAGGTGGCAGTACAAGCCAGCTGGTACTGCTGACTCCGCTGAGCATAAACTGCTCAGGTAAATTTAAGATTAATTCTCATCTGACCTGATTCTTGTAATGCCCCTCAGGTGTGATGCTGTCAGTGCTGCAAATGCATGTGTGCAGCAGAGAGGGTGAGGGAGCAAGGGTGCTGCTTATCCCAGTGCAGTGTTCTCAGGAGTTACCCCAGCACAGGGAGAAATCAAACTCAGCTCTCAGTGACATACTGGGGTCTCGCTGGCTATGAGATAATTCTTGGAACTGGATGTTTTTGTGTTTCTGATGCTGCCCCTGGGGATGCATCCCCAGACTCATGTGGGATGTGGTTTTCCTGCCCTGGCTTAGTCTCCCTGTCACCAGTCTTGCAGGTGCTGCATTTTCTGCAGGAAAATTGTCTAGTTGATGTTTTGTGGAGCAGAGCCTTATACTCCCTGTGTGGATTACAGATAGCCCTGATACCTTCAGCCTCATAGGCAGAATGGCCATCCCCAAACTCATGCAGGGGATGTGCAGATTAGGAACAAAAGATGGGAATATGGCCCTTTGTTGTTAAACTGGTGCATTACATGCTGTATTTTAATTAGGCAGGGTTTGAGAGGCAGCCCAGGAAATCCTCCATAATCCAACACTATTGAATTATTCTCATTCTTTCCCTCTGCAGATTTCTCTCCTTTTAGTGGACAGGCTTTAAGCTGATGCTCTTGCTCTCTCAGCCAAAACCAGAAATAATTATTCCACAAAATACTTGTGTGTTCTTTAAAATATTGGTGAAGCTGAAGTGGGCAGAGCAGCACCTCGACTTCATCTGCCTCAGTGGCTCCTTGGGGCTTTGGTGTGCTTTAGTGTAAGATCAGCAGGCAGAAGCAGGGTGTGAACCTTTGGAAGTGTATTCCAGGAGAACTGTGCAGTCACAGAGGATCCTGTGCGAGGGGTTTGTGCTGGCCAGGGCCGGTCCCTGCGTTCCAGGGAACCCCCTAGCGGAGCGCTGCCGCCGCCGGCGCCTCAGGGGTTAATGGCAGCGGGCACACTTGACTGCTGAGAGGACTGATCTAATCACTGCCATATCCAAGTGCATCTGTTCACCATGAGGTCATTCTTGTGCATGCTAATGACTTGGAAAATAAAGCACAATGCTCAGCGTTATCAGGGAGGATATAGTGTAAATCTTGGCTTTTTTAGTTGCTAATGGTAGTGTGGAATGGGCAGAGAAAGCATCTTGGATTCTCCAGCTTAATGTTTTTAAAGAATCCTTTTCAGTAGATCATCAGAAGAGCTGTGCTGGAAAACTTGGACATGTGGTATCTGTTGATAAATGGATTCTTAAATGAATATTATGGCATTGCCCAAGCGCAACACTTGAGTCGAGGAACTATTGAGGTTTTCAGCATTCCCTAGTTTTAAAGCCCCGGGAGCTGTGCCTGCTGATTTACATAAAACCGAGATTTTGCAGCCTTTTTGTTGCAAAGGTGACACATGCTTTCCTTTTGTCTCTGGACTTTTGCATGCATAAAGTTCTTGTAGAAAATATTTGAATGTACAGCAAACAAGATCTGGCTTATTTTAAACCACTTTTTGTTCAGTGCTGAGCTTTATCTTTCCTACTTTAAAGCAAAAGGATTATTTGAATTGGACATGCAGATTTAAAATAGATTTTTGACAGAAACAAAACCAAACCCAGAGAGTAATTCTTGTTTTAAACAGGACTGATGCTTTTAGTAGCAGTAACTGAGCTAAGGATTCATTTTGCTTTAATTTGGTTTTTCTGGGGTTTTTATACTACTTTGGGATTTTTGTTATTTTGTCTTTTTCCTTGAAGCTCTGTAGGTGTTTTGTCAGATCTGTGTCCATGTCCTGTGTGTGTATATATATATATATACATATACACACACACATATATATAGATATGTAGGATTTTTGCCTATTTTCCTGGGAATTTTAAAAACATACACATGTGAAACCGAGTAGCTGGTTCCTGGTATCAGAGGATGTGCAGTGTGCCAGGGGTTGGGTTTAATCCGTGTGTCAGCCTTGCCTGAAACGGAACAATTTGTTTCTAATATATGGGATTTAGGAAATTCCTGACTGTCCTGGTTCCCAGCAGAACAGGGAATTGTTGCTAGCATGGAGCATGGCTGAGGTGGGACACTGTGCAGTGTTGGTGCTGCCATGGTGGTGCAGGTTGTCCCGGCAGTGAACAAAGAGGAAAAGCTGAGGGAAGTGGAGCAGAGGAGCCAGGACAGTTACCACAGGAGGCAGGACTCAAGGGCTTTCTCTTCTTCCTCCTTTCCTGTGAGGACTATTCAGGATGAGGCACAGGGACCTGTCTGGCTTCCCCATCTGTTCAGTCCAGGTAGTTCCTCATCCTCAGCAGAGTGGAGCCTGCCACAGCTGGGCTGCCCTTGGGAAGTTCCTGCAGTGCACCAGCAGAGGTGGGAGCTGCTCCTTGCCTGTGTGCTCTTGCTTATCAGTGCTGTCCCATCATTTTCCTGCCTTAGTGTCCCCGTGAGGGTCAGGAATGGTCTGGCATTAAGCAGGGCAGGGTCACAGGTGCCACCAAGTGTTGGGGCAGCAGCTCTGTCCCCCTCCAGTTTCCTGTGGCTGATTGGTGCAGGGTGTGCCCAGGAGCCCAGATCCCTGCAGAGCCCCAAGGAAGTGGCTGCCTGCCCAGTGTGCTGGGGCTGTCCCTTGTGCCCCCACTGAGGGTGGGCAGTCTGAACTCGTCCCCCGAGGCTGGGCAGGTGCTGGGACTGCTTCCCCCTCCAGCCTGATGCTCCCCTCGGGATCTCCAACAGTGCAGGGGGGCGTGAGAGCCGCATCAGGGTTCTCAGCCTGGCCCCCTGCCTTTCCCATGTAATTAATTGGCTCACAGGGTGCTCCCCCAGCTTCGCTCTCCAGGAGAGGAGGTGCTGAGGGAGGGTTTATCCCAGCAATCAGTGCTGGGATGGGCAGAAATATGAGCTTGATGGGCCGTCTCTTCTGCCCAGTGACAGCTCCAGCTGCTCGAGCTGTCAGCTCGCAGAAGGCTCCAGGCAATGTGGCCCCTTTGCATTTCCCTCTGCACTGAGGCTCTGGCAGAGACCTGCAGCAGAGGCAGAGCAGAAATGGGGCAGAGCTGTCCTGCAGGGCTTGGGCTGCCCCACCTGTGACACCCACATAGCCCCCAGCACTTGGGATCCCTCTGCCTGAGGCTGAGCCTTGCAAAACTAATCAGCAGCTACTCCAATTTGAGAGTAATTAAAGTTCAATGTGTACATTTCAGGCTTATTTCCGAGGTGCTCAAACCTTGGAGGCCCACAGAGGTGCCAGGCACTCCCACCTGAGCTGGGAGCTGTGGGTGCTGTTTTAAGGCCCATTCTGCCCCAGTTATTAACCTGTAGTGTCAGATTCTCTTTACTGTGTCACTTACAGCTTTCCAGGGCACTGGAGGAAGTGTGTAGCTTTAACCCAGTTTCAATTATCCATGGGTTTTTCTACACAGGCTCAGGATGCTGCTTACAGTGTACTTGGAACCTGTCTTGGGGAGTTGGAAACAGAACGCTGTGCAGAGTTATGACAACGATTCTCTCGGGAATTTTATTACCTTTGCATTTACTAGGAAGGAAAACAAAGATTTCCACAGACCTGTCCTGGCTGAAAGGTTAACAGGGGATTGGAACAGTTCACAGCCCATGTGAAAACTTCATGGTTCTTCTCAAGTACCAGTCTTCAGCATCCTTACAGGTCATGGTCTTACCCACCCTTGCTTTCAGGGGTGTTCAGCTGCTTCATGAGCAGTGGCTAAAATGCCATTCCTAGAGCACATGCCCTGGGGAAGGAACCAGGTTTATTCTGTAAACTGGATTTAAGATGCAATACACCATCTCTCTCTGGCTTCCTGCAAGGTAACCTTGCATTTAAAATGCCATCATCTATATTTTAATTGTTTTTAATTCCTCCTGCAAGAAATGTATTTTGAAAGCTTAATGCTCTTTAAGCAGCCTCACCTGTGAGAGGCCCTCCACTGTGTGTGTGTGTCTTAGTGCAGGTGTGTGACTGCTCATGGACAGGTTTTATGCATTCAAGGACTTGCTCTTCTGGCACCAGGATGGCTACACTGCTCAATTCCTGGAGTTTTAACCTGGCTATAGTGTCACAGATATCTAGGTCTCCATGAAGCCTCAAATTTTAGTCAGTTTTAAATGGTGTGACCAGCAACAGTGCTGAACGTGGAGCTGAGGCATGAAGGAGCTGCACGCCACCATTGCACGGCAGCAGGTTTGACAGAAGATGAAGCACAATGAATATTCATTCCAATTTTTGCCAGCATTCCCTCCCTTGGTTGTTTCAGTCCTCAGACCCCAGGAGAAAGTTCATGGGGGTGTGTTTCTGCAGGTCCCTGAGGGGAGCTCCCCTTCCTGCCTTTAATGGGGTGTGCTGTGTCAGGTTGATGCAACCACAGCAGTCACAGGGTGCTGGTCCTGCAGTGACATGGTTCTGTTCCCCTCGTTGGTCCTGCACTGACATGGTTTTGTTTTCCCCCTTTGCTCCTGCACTGACATGGTTTTGTTCCCCCATTTTGGTCCTGCACTGATGTGGTTTTGTTCTCTCCCTTTAGATTAGAGTGTTAATGCTCTCGGTACAGTAACAGCCACAGGTAAGAGCAATGCTTCCCGCAGGCCCCTCTGCTGTGGTTCATCAGGAACAGCTCTCCTTGCCCTCCTCCTCCCTTGCTGCCTCTGCTCCATGCTCAGCTCACACCTCCTCTGCTCAGCCTCCCATGCTCTGTGTTCACCTCGTACCTCCCAAACTCCGCGTGCAGTTCTGCCTCCTACAAACACCACAGTAATGCCTCCTGTACATTAATGCCCACAATATGTGTACAGTAATGCCATCTCACGATCTGTGAACAGTACAAACTCTATGTGCCAGGTAATGCCTCCCGTGAGCCACACGCAGTAATATGTCCCACGATATGTGCCTGGTAATTATTTTTTACTTCTAAGCTGCTTCAGCTTGTCCATTTGGAGAAAACTATTATTTTGACCATCTGCCATTCTGCCTCACTGCAGGAATGTCAAGCACAACACCTCCCTCGAAGCCCTTCCCTCCCCCACGCTTTTCTCCCCAGCCAATAGCACCACAGGTTTTGTTTTAATCCAAAGTTGACAGCTCTCCATTTTTCACAGAAAATGCCTTTACAGGCTAAGTCACACTTTCCACCTTTTTAAAATGTGCTATTTCCCCTCAGTCAGTTTTCTCAAAGAACCAATCTGGTAAGTAAAGGCTGTCTTTGAGATGCAAACGCAGGGCTGCAGGCAGGCTGAGGGGGTTCACACTTCGGGCTGTGCTGCTGCTGTTCCACTCCTGCTTTCAGTCACTCAAACACCCAGAGCTGCTCAAGCACAAGCACAGGTTACACCTCACCCTGGAAGTGCAGCCCAGAGCCAGGGTGTCTTTGTCCTCAGACAGCAGCTGAGGGCTCATCCTGCTGCCACACTGACCTGTGGCCATGTCCCCACCTGTCCTGCACGCACAGTGCCCTGCTCACCTGTACCCGAGGGCCAGCTCAGCCAAGGCCCTGCTGCATTTTGGGGCATTTTGCACACATTTGAGATTTACCTGGGCTAGGAAGGTGAAGGGAGGATGAAGAGCTGTGGCCTGTCCAGGCACAGCTGAGAATGGAGTCAGTTGCTGCACTGGAAGTGGGTCTATGCTTCAAAACACAACCATCTCTCAGAGGTTCAGAGGGGGTGCCAATGGTGCCAGCCTTCAGAGAGAGTTCAGAACATTCCTCTGCTCTCCCTGCCTGGTTCCAAGGCTGTTCCTCCCTCCTACCTGTAATAAAAAACTTGTGTTTACACTTCGGGAGAGAATTGTAACGTGGTTTATAAAACACTGTTCCCCTGGGAAATGCCTTGGGACAGGTCGAGCCCTCAGGAGCAGGGCAGGGTGTGTCCCTCACAGAAGCTGCACCTGGATTTGGTCATTAGTGCCTAATTTAATGACCATGTGCTCACCTGTTCCCCCTCAGCCAGCCTGGCCTCTAGGGAATAACCAACAGGTGACTCCACTCAACAACAAAGCATAATCCCCCATACCCACAGCCCCCCAAGACCCTTCCCCAGTGGTGACCATGAGCACCAGTAACAAGGGTACCTGTTACGTAGTGGAAGAAATTGTGATTCTCTAGAATTTTTCCAAAGGTTAAGGCACCTTCCAGGGAGAATTCTGTGCCAGCCCTCATGCTGGGAATGCTTGTTTCCAGCTCTCTGTAACAGTCCAAACACACAAGAACAGTTTAATGACACACAGCAACAAACAGTTTTGTGTCACCCACACAGAACTATTTTATGTTGGAGCTTCAAGTGTGGAGGATAGGAGCTTCCCACCTCCCTCCCATGGGGCTGTGGGGCCCTGAGAGCCACTGGGGGCTGTGCAGACCAAAAGGGGGTGATGCTGGGGGGCTCAGTGCTCACCTGGACACCCATGGCCTCTCAGGGCTCCTCACTTCCGGGAGCTGGCAAAGAGAAATCCCTGCTTTTTCTGGGAAGCATAGTATGGCAGTTCTTCAGCTGCCTACAGCAAATTCCTCCTCTGGAGGTCCAGTTCACCTGAGTGATCCCAGGGGAGGGGCTGAGCTGTGCCACAGAGTTATTCTGAGGACACAGCTGTTTTTCCTGACTGGGTTTTCCATGCCTGCTCTGTTTTCCAGGCTGCCTCACCACAAGTGCAAGCGCCAACCTCGCTGGCATCGAGCTGGTGGAGCTGCCCCTGCTGCCACGTGCCTCCAGGAGCAGGGTCTCTGGGAAGCTCTGCCAGCACCCTCAGCAAGGTGTCCACCTGAAGTGTCCACCTGAGGTGTCCACCTGAGACCCTGGACAACAGAGCTGTGGCTGGAGCAGCCCACAGCACCTGAGCACAGATCAGAACGGGCAGTCTGGGTGAATGCATCTTGAAGGGGCTGGGTGAGGGGTTTGCTCTGTGAAATGGCCCTTCCCCAGTCTGGTCAGACATGGCTGGGGACTGGATGTCACCTGTGTCACCATCACCACTGCACTGGCACCAGGTGAGCAAGGGCCCTAAGCCCCTGGGTGCAGGTGCTGCAGCCAGAGGTGAACTAGCACTGAAAGTAGTTATTTAATGTACCCTTAGAGCATTGCTTTAGTCATTCCAGGCAGCACTAACCTGTGCATTAGGGAATTTCTTCTAAGGAGAGGCTTTCCTGTGACTGGCCAGGTACATGTTCCCTGCTGGAGCACAGGTGGTTGAGGAGGAGCTCTGGGGTTGGTGCTGTCCCACTGTGGGAGTGCCATGGCCTTTCTGTGCTCTGTGCAATGGCTGTGCACTGGAACTGCTCCCTAGAGAAACAAAAATAAGCAAATCCCTTTTAGAAGAACAAAAGCCACACTCCTGCCATGAGCCCTTCCCAGCACAGTGTGAACAAGTGGGTAACCTCCTCACCTTGTCCCAGCAGGCTGTGACCTGTCTCCAGCCAGAGTACAACACAGCTGAAGGCTTCTGAGGACTCTGTGTGCCCTCCTGGCACCTGCTGTAGTGGGCAGAGCTCCTGTTGGCAGTAGCTGATCTGTTTTGGTTTACACGTGTCATAGGCTGATGGGGTGAAAATTGTTATAGTTCAATCCCAGGTATTTTAAAGCAACAGAAATCTGAGATGCAGCAGCTACAGAGCCCTGTCCTGCTGCTGGTTGCTCCTGGGCACACACACACACATGCACACCTCCCAGCAGAATGGGAGCTGCTTTAAGCAAAGGGATTGTGTTTTTGGGAAATGTGCCGTTGGGCCCCCATCTGTTTTTGCACTTACACTTGGTGTTACAGCCATCTGTCTGTCTGACCGTCTGAGTGCCAGCACCTGGCCAGAGGCCACCTGTGCCTGTGGGGCACATTCCAGCCATGGCCAGTGATGCCAGTGTGCCCAAGGGGCAGCAGCCCAGCCTCAGTGCCCCACAGGAACTCACCTGGTGCAGCTGCTGGAAGGAGCCTCTGTCACTTGGCTTGGGCTTGGACAACTGGTTTGATTTTCTGCCTCAACCCACAGTTGGGTTTTGCTTTCTGTTGATTTTCTGTCAGTGAAGGAACCTAGAAAATAAAACATGTATTTTAATTTATTTTACATTCAGGGCCGGACAGGCAAGGCTGTCTGGCACTTCGTTATCTAATAGCTGGTCTGAAACAATTTCAAAGGCATCCTTCTGAGTAAGGAGCCCTTTCTCCTTAGAGCAATATGTACCTCTAATTCAGGGAAGAATTAAGACATCAATGAAAATCATGTTTTCCTGATGTCAAAAAACTGTTAATTTGTACAAACTCCGCTGTGGTTTTGCACCCTGAACTGGATGACAAAGCCACTCTGTTCCCCCTCACAAAGTGAATAAATCTTTGCTCACAATAAATTTCTCCCCAGAGCAATAAAATGCAGTACCTGTGTGGTGTGTGGCGGCGGTGGGAGGTGCTGGGGCTGGAACTCGATGACACTGGTGGTGCTGTGGGTGCCATGGGTGTGCAGGCTGGCTCACAGGGACAGGGACAGTCCCTGCTGGACGCGGTTCTGTCCCTCTCTGCAGGAACAGCTGCCAGGTGTGCAGCAGGCAGGGGTGCTCCCAGACCGGAGTGCTCTTGAGGAGTTCACACCATGCTGTGACTGGCACAGGGGCACCCACGCTCGTGCCCTGCAGGTCCCACATGGCAGCAGTGCCCTCTGCCACCCTGCAGGGTGGCACCTCCTGCCAGCCCAGCCCTGCCCACGGTGCCAAGCACAGAGAGACTTTTGGGGCCCCCAGAAGCCACTGTTCATAACCTGCTTCCCTGCAATGTCTCATGACCCAACCACCCACGTTAAAAATTAGACGTTTTTAGTGGTGTACTCTACAGTGACATTCCTTAAGCAAATGCAGGGGGCTGCACTCAGCCATTACAATGTCTGAAAAGACAAAGGAAAGTTCCCTTTTGCTGAAGAGCCACAGCAAAGTCCTCTCCTGAATTGCTTTCAGGTGCTCAAAGCAGAAATGGAGAGTGAATCCAGCTAGCCCCAGATAAAGCTCCCTTTGCAGCAGTAACTGCCCACACTAACAAGCTGCTGGGAACCCAGCTCCTACCTACCTGTCCCAAGGAGGATCCCAGGCCCAGCAACACCACCCTTGGAGTGGAGAGCAGGCTGGGGCTGCTGCTCTGTGCACTCAGGGGCAGTGCTGGCACCCCTCACCAGGGCTGGCACCCTGGCTGGAGGGCATGTGGCTCTGCACAGCCTGGCACTGGCACCCAGGGGGGCTGGGGGCACTGGGGACACAGGCAGGACACTGCCACAGCCTGGCACTGGCACCCAGGGAGGCTGGGGGCACTGGGGACACAGGCAGGACACTGCCACAGCCAAGGGGCTGCAGCAGCACTGGCAGAGCCAGCCCAGCATGGGGCAGGAACTTGGGCCCAAGGCACCCCCAGCTCTGCACCGATGGCAGCAGCTGCAAAAATGGCATTAAAATAATATACTAAATTAAATAATATATATATAATATATATAAATAAGCTTAAAGGCTAGTTTATACTTACCATGAAGTCCCAGATCGGATTGTGTTGGAAAGGAGCTTAAGTTCATCTCATTCCACCCTTACCATGGGCAGGGACACTTCCCACTATCCCAAGTTGCTCCAAGCCTTGTCCAACCTGCCTTGGAACACTTCCAGGGATCCAGGGGCAGCCACAGCTTCTCTGGGCACCCTGTGCCAGGGCCTCACCATCCTCACAGCCAAGAATTTCCTCTCAATATCCCCTCTAATTATACCTTCCTTCAGCTTTAGAAGGATGCCTAACATTTTTTACAAACATTTGTATAGGTATTATCTTATTCCTACACCCATTAATATGCTCTCTTTAACTACAGAATATATATTAGGGATCTCATCCTATGTTCTATATATTGTATGCTACAGTATTTCAAAATATATATCTAATGTTAGATGTTATTCATGTCTATATGTTTCTATTAGCTAGAATATATATTATAGGCATTAAATACACACAGATACAATATTATTACATCAAGGAAAATATATGCAATCTATGATCTATAATCTAGGTATAATGCAAGATATATATAATGTGATATGCATTATATATTATACAATTAATAATAATAATAATAATAATAATAATAATAATTATTATTATTATTATTATTATTATTATTATTATTATTATTATTATTATTATTATTATTATTATTTATTAATATAGTCAATAAATATTGAATATAAGGGTAATAATTTTAGGCAAAAATGGATTATAGGCTACATAAATACAACATATTCCCTTTACATTATATGTGTATATCTACATAGGCACACACCCCTGGGATATATTTCAGCTATATGTACATATCATGACAAAAACTGTAACATTTCTTTGCTAACTGTAATACTGTGTGCAAATACATGCACTATACTTTTCTTTAAAATGTATATAAGAAAATCATATAAATCATATCAGCAATGTATGGATTCTATATAACATGATATAATGAACATGCAATATTTGGCACATATATGATGTGCATCATGGAGTATTTAGTGCACTAAAAAGATAACATTATTTCAGACCATGACTGTCATGTATGTGTAGTGGATATGCCAGCTGTGCACACCTACACTCTGTCCTGCACAGCACACAAATCCTGGCTGCAGAGCTGACAAAACCTCCTGTCAGATCAGAGTGCTTCATTACATCAACATTGGTAATGTATCAGTAATTATGTATAATGCATAGATGATATTACGTACTGTAGATAATATATTTAATATGCATTGTCTAAGTGGCAATATATAACAGACATATATTAGTATCCATTGTATAATATAAATGCTTTGATATAATACATGTAATAGATTATTACATTTATATATAGTGTAATATATTATTACACGTAATACATTATTACATTATCTACAAATTACCTATTATTACTATCTGTGTTATTACCTACATATTCTGAAGTGTACTTATACAAATCATTTCTATTGAATATACTGCTATAAAAAGAATATATTTTTTACATTTATTTTATCACAGAATCCTAGAATAGTTTGGGTTGGAAGGGCACAATAAAGCCCATCTTATTCCACCCTTACCATGGGCAGGGACACCTTCCACTATCCCAGGTTCTCCAAGCCCCATCCAACCTGGCCTTGGACACTTCCAAGGATCCAGGGGCAAATGCAAAATATAATTTATTCTATGTAATAAATTCTGATTTTCTTCTGTGTGTGTGTAACTAAACCAAAACCTCCCAACTCAGACACCCCCAACTGTACATAATTTTCCTCACATTTGTCATTGGACTGGTAATTCACTATAGGTAATTTCCTTCTAAAAAACTGTAAAAATGAGCCAGTAAAAACACCATGGTCCCACACGCTGAGAAAGCAGAACCTGGTTTAACCTGCAGCTGAACCATGCTCCTTTGCTCTGGTTAAATCCTCCCTGTCACTCACCTTCCCCATTCCCTAAGGAAGGCTGAAAAGCCTCAGCAGAGCCGTACAGCACAAGAGCCAGGCAGGAACAGTCTGGGCTGTGCATGCCCTCGCCTTCAGAGCTGCGAGGGGGCTTTATTAGAGCTTAAAAACAGTGGATCTTTTTAAAGAGAAACAGGTGGTTTAGCTGGGCCTGGCTGCTGCAAATAATGTCCCAATTACCGTGTCCTAGGAGGGCTCCTGTGCCGGCGTGGGGCTCCTGCTGCTGCCACTGTGCCCATCTTTGTCCAGCTTCAGTCCCTGGCTGCCTGCTGAGGAGAAAACAGCACAGTCACATCAGCACCGGGGACAGCCCAGCACGTGGATCCAGTGGCACAGCTAAGAACCAAGCCTGGCAGTGTCCGGTGTGGACAGCCCACACTTGGCATGTCCCATCTCAACGATTAATGTTGCCAGAGGCAGACCTTTGTTATGTGGACTATAAATGACATTTTATTTAAACCATTTATAGTCCCAATGAGGCTTCTTAGCTGCATGGAAGGATCTGAGGTGTTTAATGCCATTCGCAAGGATGCACCTGCAAACCCAGATCCTTCACCGAGGGGAGATGCCTGGGTGCTTCGGGGAACTGCTGACCCACCCGGCCTAAAACACTTACCACAACCCAGCACTCCTGACCCGGGAGCAATGGGCAGGAGGTGTGTTGGCACCAACACCACAGCACCCTGCAGCACCCTGCAGGCATGGCACACCCCAGAGAAACACCTGTGACTCCATGAGCCATTTCCCAGATCATCAACAGCAACACCTTTTTTTAAACAGGCTTGTGTTGCGTGAGGAAGAGTGAAATCCAAGGCAAAAGCCAATGTTTGTCCTGTTCCCAGGCTTGCCTCAATCCCATGGATACCTCCCAGCTGCCCACCCCAGGAACAGACCAGGAGGTGCTGGGCAGGGCCCCCCAAAACCCTGAGCTGTGTTTCCAAGTGAGTGCATCCAGCAAGGCAGCTGACAGATGCCTTACTGCACTGATGGTTACGAGGGACAGTGGTGTTGGTACCAAAACTTGTAAAAACCTTCCCTGGGGACAAGCATCCTCCAGAGTCTTCCGCTGTGGACAGGAGCAAGAGCAGCTTGCCCCAGGTCCCCAGCAGCTCTGAGCCCCTGGGGCAGGGATGGTGTCCATGCTGTATTTTCAGGACCCTGCAGGTTCCTCTATCCAATCTTCCTTTCCCTGTGCTCACAACACTCAGTCTCAGACCACACATTTGGCTCTCAGCGTGCTCAGAGAGGAGGAAAGCTCCAGCACAGCAGGCAAACCCCTCTGCCTGAATGAACAGAGCATGAGCAACCTCTGCACCAGCTGCCTCCACTGCGTCATATTTGGGGCAGGATCAGTGTTTTCTGTGGTGCCCAGACCTGTTCCTGCTGGAGGCACTGAGAGCCATCAGCAGTTGATTTGTTAGCTGACGGCAGGAGGCTTTGTTTGCGCAGCGCTGGCCGACCGTGCTGCCAGGTGGCCGGGACGTGGCACCCACCAGGCAACACCTGCATTCCCAGGGTCTGCACTGAGAGCACTCTGGGTTCAGACATGCTGCTCGGCCCCTGGGACAGCCACCAAGCCACAGTGGGCTTGGGACTTCACAGAGACACAGCAGGAGAGAGGCCCAGTGCTGGGGGCCTGGGCAGTGGGACTGCTGAGGGGCAAAGACAGATCCATCCCCAAAATACTGTCCAAAGGATACTGGTGTGAGTGGGAGGCTTTGTAACCTGTCATGGAGGTACAATGCCCTTCACTGCCAGGTGGCATGTGATGCAAAACAGAATTCTGATGGCTCCCTGCAAATCCCCTTGGGTTGGGGCTCACCTTCACCAGGAACCTCTCCAGAAACTCCTCAGGCCATCAGTACTCACCCTCACAAGGAACCCCTCCAGAAACCCCTTGGGCAGTCAGGGCTCGGTCTCACAAGGACCCAGCGGTGCAGATGAGGGGAGAAAGGCTGCAGACACAAAGCACAGCAGCTCTGCCCAGGTTGCTGCAGATGTCAAAAGTCAA